ACGTTACAAGTGTTACCCTAACCCTCACCTGGTTCCTCTCATCTCAGGCATGGTCACTTCGACTTTGGAGAAAATACCACTAATTAGTGGACAGTGGGTAATGCCGGGGTGTCGGGTTCGACCCCAGCTGCGGACCGTTTGTCTTGCGTTGGTGGTACTAACAGCTGACTGTTGAGTAAGCAATAGCAAACTACTAAATGTAGAAATTGCCTAGTAAAACCAAAACAAGAGCCAAAAAAGGTTGGGGTTGGTTCTGCAACGTCATGTAAAGGATAAGCAACTATCTTCTTTCATGATATGACGACAGATGGAAACTTCAGAAGACAATTTCATGATATGACGATAGATGGAAACTTTAGAAGACAATTTCATGATATGACGACAGATGGAGACTTCAGAAGACAATTTCATGATATGACGACAGATGGAGACTTCAGAAGACAATTTCATGATATGACGACATTATGGAAACTTTAGAAGACAATTTCATGATATGACGACATTATGGAAACTTTAGAAGACAATTTCATGATATGACGACATTATGGAAACTTTAGAAGACAATTTCATGATATGACGACAGAGGGAAACTTTAGAAGACAATTTCATGATATGACGACAGATGGAAACTTTAGAAGACAATTTCATGATATGACGACAGAAGGAAACTTTAGAAGACAATTTCATGATATGACGACAGAAGGAAACTTTAGAAGACAATTTCATGATATGACGACAGATGGAAACTTTAGAAGACAATTTCATGATATGACGACAGAAGGAAACTTTAGAAGACAATTTCATGATATGACGACAGAAGGAAACTTTAGAAGACAATTTCAAGACACGACGACAGAAGGAAACTTTAGAAGACAATTTCAAGACACGACGACAGAAGGAAACTTTAGAAGACAATTTTACGATATGACAGATGGAAACTTTAGAAGACAATTTCATGATATGACGACAGAAGGAAACTTTAGAAGACAATTACATGATATGGCGACAGAAGGAAACTTTAGAAGACAATTTCAAGACACGACGACAGAAGGAAACTTTAGAAGACAATTTCAAGACACGACGACAGAAGGAAACTTTAGAAGACAATTTCAAGACACGACGACAGAAGGAAACTTTAGAAGACAATTTCAAGACACGACGACAGAAGGAAACTTTAGAAGACAATTTCAAGACACGACCACAGAAGGAAACTTTAGAAGACAATTTCAAGACACGATGACAGAAGGAAACGTTAGAAGACAATTTCAAGACACGACCACAAAAGGAAACTTTAGAAGACAATTTCAAGACAGGACGACAGAAGGAAACTTGAGAAGACAATTACATTATATGACGACAGAAGGAAACTTTAGAAGACAATTTCATGATATGACGACATAAGGAAACTTTAGAAGACAATTTCATGATATGACGACAGAAGGAAACTTTAGAAGACAGTTTCATGATATGAGGACAGAAGAAAACTTTATAAGACAATTCCATAATATGACGACAGACACAAACTCTAGAAGATAGCTTTACGACATGACGACATAGTGAAATTCTAAATATTCTAAGTTATTAAAAAAAAAACGGTCACCTCTCACTACTGTCTGTTTCACCACTTATTGGGGCGGACTAGACAGCGGGTCGTGAGCCTACATATTTAGAGCTCCATTGCTAGAGCTGTCGCCACGGACTGTGCAGACTGGCATGTTTAATTCTGTCCCCGACAGAAAAACATCCCTCGCCTTACCGGGGTCCGACGCAACCGCCCGACCAGCCGCTCCTTAAAGTTGTAGAAAGGGCAACATTACAAAGCGGAAATTACTAAGAGGCGTAGCAGTAAAAATAACAGACTGTAGCTATGTGACTGAAAACAGATTCTCCCTACACTAGGCCAAATGATGACATTAACAAACGCACCAGCCGTTTCACTAGCTGTTGTGTTAATCAGCAGTCGCTGGGCCCGATCCTTTGATAAGGCAAAGTGGGTTGCCAACTGTTTGATCACGAAGTGGCCTGTAGATAAGACACGGCGAGAAACAATGGCCGACGTTTATTATCATAACAGCTGTTGGCAAGGAGCGCTGTCGTGGGGTCGACACAACCTTGTACTGGCGTGCTACTGTTGAAACACGGAGGATTACTAATGTCCACTCTGTGTAACCTTGCAGAACTGCGGTCAGCGATCGTCACGGTACAAAGCGATCCATCCAGCGAGAACTCCATATCTAAAAGATTGGTTGAGACAAATAAACCTTCGGGGAGCGAAGTACTCTTTCCGTGGAAAAACACCGGAACGTGTAAAACAGAGACAAAAACTCCAGAAAATTACCGAAGAGAAATAAAATGGGAGGTGTGTGGAGGTTGCAGTATGTCCACACTGCGGCGAAGTGACCAAGCCATTTGCCTTACGCTCTAGAGATCGTGGATTGGTAACTCCAACACCAGATTCAGTTCACTTGTGCAATTCTGTGAAGATCTCTGGGGGTCCTAGCTAGAGCTAAGAGGTTCTTGCTAAGAGCGATGCTAACAGCAGCTGTTCTGCGGACAAACCGAGTCATAAGGGATAACCTAGTACAAGGTAGTCGATCCTCTTAACTTTACCTTTTAATCGCCGATAAAGGCCTTCCTAGGGAAAGGAGGTTGGGGGGGGGGGGGGGGGGACCACAAAGCAGATGAATTCTGTGTGTGATATGTGACAGCAAAGGTGGCACGACATTTCACTTGTGAAGGAGGGAATACTTTTGTGGAGCGAGAAGTAAAGTCCTGGACACATAAAGTTCGTTAAAGAGCACCATGTCTAATGATTCGGCCAACTGAATACCTTCGTACTAACTGTCGTCAAGAGGTAATCTGAAGAACATTGAGCAAGTACAAGGCAAGCTTAAGATAGATAGACAAGATGCTGCCACATCATCACGAACCACCATAAAGAAATAATGTCCACTTTGCAAAACACATTAGAAAGACGCACACATAATATTATTACACCTCTTCTCGATGATAATAATGAGGAAGAAGAAGGAGACGAGGAGGAGGAGAAGAAGAAAAATAAGAAGAATGAAGGGGATGAAAAGAAGCAGAATATTATTAAGAAGAAAAAGAGAAGGAAGATGAAAAGAACAAATAGAATATAAGGAAGAACAAGAGGAAGAAAAAGAAGTTAACTCCCGTCTTTCTTTAACACTGTCAGTAATGACCGCTTTTGTCGTAACGTTCAACACTTGCCCAGTCGTTACTTGGCGAGCTCAAGACAAACAATGACATAAATAAAGTCAAACACCGCCACCAAAACTGTATCAGGAAGAACAACATAAGTGCTGGAGCAGTGGCAGCGTAACGGCTGGACGCTGGTCTGCCTGACCCAAAGATCTTGGTTTCGAATTCACATCGGGTCGGCTTTTTTCTGGGGATCAAAATTGACCCTGGCTCCTATTTTGACCTAACCTTAAATAGGTACCAGATAATTTCCTTAGAAGTAAAAGCGACCGGCATCGTGTTGACCACACGAGTGCCGACTAGCCTATAAAATATGTGTAGATGTGGAATGACCGAAAAGCCACTGAGGTCAACAGGAGCCTTTCCTCTCTTCCTTATGTAAAAAAAAAAAAAAAATAGTGGCGAGGCCTAGTAGGCGAAAACGACCCTAAAAGAACACATCTTGCTACACTTATAAAGGTTCTCAAAGGGAAAAGACGAATAACCGATCGTTTTTTTTTACAGGGGTCATGATTAAATTCGTTTCCGTCCGGCTCTCTAGCGTAGTTGGCTAAACCGGACTGCGCGGTGACCGGGTAACGAATTCCTTGTGGTCCGGGTTCACTTCCGGGGGTAAGCAGAAAAGCCACACTTCTCCCAGATTTAGGGTATTTTCAATGGAATCAAGGCCGAAGGGTTGCGATATCCATAATACCGAGCCTAAGGGTTAACAACTCATGGCTTCTGGATACTAAAAAAAAAAATCGCTTCCATATTTACAAGAATGCTTTCCCCGTGTGAGCCACTACAAGTGTCTTAGGTAATTTTGACTGGGAATGTGTGCGCTTCAAACAGCTTCCGGAATATTACAAGTCGTCAGCACGTAGGGGGAAGTGACGTTCGCGTCGTTTCAGCATCTTTTAAACCTTGAGATAAGTAGGAGAGTTTACCCAGTAAAAGATGAGTGAAGTTAATCAGAGTAAACTGTTCTTGGTGAAAGCTGGAGGAAAAAAAAAAAATTCAATGGAATAAAGAAAGGGGAAAAAGTATGACAGTGCCTATATAGATTAAAGGAGAATTATGGTTGGCTGGAGAGCAGAAACAGAAGATTCAAATCGTTTCATGTGCGTCTGGTGAGGCTCTAGAGAACATAAAAGAGAGATGCCATTATTTTGTTTTGTTTGGACAGTACAGTGCTAGAGAAGCTGAAGATAGTCTCGTGGGATGAAGATGAATATACAGAAATAGAGAGGTTGGGGGAGGGGAAAAAAAAGGGGGGGGGGGGGGGGAGTAAGTAGGAAAAGAGTGAAAAGAATAGATCAGTCGAGGAAGAAAAAGATAGGGAGGTAGGGAGATTATGCCCCCCCCCCCCCCCCCCCCCAACAGAAAAAATAGGGAAAGAAATAAAGAGATATGTCACACGAGACAGACCAAGCGAGGAGACGATCAAGAGGGTTTGAAAAAAGGGGCCTAGAGAAAGAGACGTTGAGTGAAGATTTAAAAAAATCCTTAACTCAGGAGATGGTGATAGTGCACGATAAATAGATATGAAAAGACAGAAGGAGAGAGAGAGAGAGAGAGAGAGAGAGAGAGAGAGAGAGAGAGAGAGAGAGCAGTAGCAGAAGAAAAAGAAATAGCAGTTGTTTTGTAGTAGTAGTTGTAGAAGAGGAAGACGACGACAAGGAAGAAGAAGAAGAAGAAAAAGAAGAAGAAGCCAGAGACGAGAACAAAGCGTAGAAACATGAATGGCCAGTGACAAGAGAGAACTCCACTAAAGACACAACAATCAGGCTCACCAGCTGCTGTAACTGGCTGCAGGAGTCACACCTGCAGGCGGCAGGGTGGACATCCAGAACGTTCTTGCTCAGTAACAGCTTCAGACTGCGCCCGTGGTGCCGGATCGACCTCTTCCAGTCCTTGGCGGATTCTCTTCCAGAGACTGCTTGGAACTCGTTGGGAGTAAACCATTTCCCTCCAAGCTCGATGCATTTGCCCTTGCTGCCTTGGTAGAGCTTGGACATGTACATGAGCCCCTTGTTGTCCCCGCACTCCACCTGAAGACAGATGTCGTTCTGGCGGAATTCCGGAGTGACGTCGTCGTCAGAGCAGTTGTTGAGGTTGACGATAGTACTTCCAATTCGGTAGTTGCTCGGGCCTGTCTGCATGAAGCCGGAATGCATTAGCTCGTTGTCACCGACATCAGAAGCCGCATCGCCATCTACACTGCTACTGCTGCTAGTACTAACAGTGGTCCCAGCGTTGCTGTTGGCGTTAGAGGGCGGGCTAGGAGCAGGAGACATCACAAATCCAGTGTTGGATCGACTGTTGACATCCAATGGAGACTCGATCGTACACGGATTTACCGGAACGTCAGACGGTTTCTCTCGGTCTTGTGTCAGCTCTACAACTATTTCCCCATCTTCATCCATCTCCATATCCTGGCTAAACCCAGGCATCGTTGTCGCAAAGGAGTTCACATCAGATCCTGGAAGTATCTCCACAGAAGAAGCAGCTGCACGCCTTCCTCTACCTCTACCTCGGCGAGTTCTTTTTCTCATGGCGACGCCGTAAATCCAAAATCCACGTAACTAGAACTGAGCTGCTATATCCACAGACACAGCCGCTTCTTTTCCCCGACAGGAAGTAACAAATTAGTAAACCTGGCCGAATCGAGCACAGAGCTGAAAATTAAGATAAACAAAGCAGAAGTTAAAAAAATCGGTGGCAAGTTATTTTTTCTATATTTATAACTTCCTCTCCAGCTTGTAGCATGACATTACAGCGGAAATGATAACGAATGCGACGTTGCCCAAACCGCATTCTCTCCGTGTTGTTTACACTGAACTACTTGTCTGCCCAATCCGCGGCGTAAAAACGGAAATATTGCTCGGTTAGTAAGAAGTACTTAGTCTGGTAATTGCCTTCCATCCAATGACGGTCGACCGATTGATTGATGATTGGAGGAAATAAACGTGCGAGGTCGCCCGCTAGCTGGGGTGCACGGCAAAGCCTGTGGGCCCAGCCGAAGATACAACTCGAATCATGTTTAGAATATACACGGCTGGGTAACAAGATTCCGCGCAAGTGACGAAATAAATCATATAGTTATATCTGGAAAATTCGTCGCACTAAAACAACCGTTCTGACGGGCGGGCGGCTTACAGTGAGTATGTCGAAACGGCGGGATATTAAAAACTGAGTAATGCGGCTGAAAGATTACGAAACAAAACTCTGTGATCAGAAGAGGTGGGTTTATGGAGTTCTTTTGTTATGAAGTATCCAACTCTTGTAGGAACTGATCCGCAGCCGCTTGCTTGAGAGCTGATAATTATAGGAACAGTGGTGGTGACCGCTTGTGAAACTACTGTGTGTGTTGGTGAGGAGGGGGGGGGGGGGGGGGTTTCTTCAGCCTCTAACAAGGATTATTTGCCTAAGACAACTTGCCTCGGCTACAAAGGCTGAGCCTGCCCGCCCCAACAGAATCTGGCCCACATAACTAACATTGAGCAAGCAGACAATGCTCACTTTGTTTGGTGAGGAGGAAAAAAGGGGGGGGGGATCTTACAAACGACAGCAACACTGGCTGAGAGACAATCTACGTGTCACTAAAACTGCCAATGTTTATCGAATTATTCTCACACCTGTCCTGAAAGGATGTCGCTTGAATACAGATAGTTGTCTAACAGTATAAAACATGTAAAACGTGTCTAAATCACCCTTATCCAAAGGAGAGGGACAGGTTGGGAACACAAACAGCCCATTTATCTAGGTCGAGTTAGTGCAACGATTGCAGTGGGGATCAATAACAAAAGTCGTCCCTAAATTTAACCGCGGAAAGAAACGCAATGGCTGAATGGTGCAGACGCTAGAGACGACGCCGTAACTTGGGTTTTCGTGAGCCCCTGGACAAAGAAAGTGTGCGATTTTATATTCAGGTCGCAAATTTATGTTTCAAAAATCCTGTTGTGCTTCCAGTTGGCCTGAGTGCCGGGAAGAGAAAATGAATAATGAGGGAGAGATAAAAGCGAGCGATCTGCGCTCATTGTTCTGTCTGAGGAGGCCCTTCACAACAAAAACAGGAGAAAACCACCTCTTGTGTTCAACAATAATACAACTGGGCTGATTAAAAATTTAATCAATATTTAAGTGAAGCTTCACTGACACATGTGTCCGCGCGAGACAGAACACGCACAGACACGCTAAGTGAAACACACGTAGGCAAATAACACGCTGCTATTGTAAAGCCGTTCACCCTGACCTATCTACGGCGTAATGGATTTGATTGTGGATTGCGTCGCTGGTACACGGTGTCCTGTCCCGCTTAATCCTAATGTAGCTATAATGATTGTCGGATAATAGAAAAGTCACGATGTGTGGAGTGGAATGTTGTCGTGTCTGCCTTATCTGGTCTTTGCAACAGACGTCCTCGGCCACTTTGTCAGTTTTATCTAGTGGAACTAGATCAGGTTTCATAGTCCCGACATCCTGGCTCTCATTTCTGGTTCTCAGGGGCTAGTTGAGACAGACCAACCTACATGCATTAGGCTGACTTAAGAACACAGATTATACATAGACAGACAGATAAACAGACAGACAGACAGACAGACAGACAGACAGACAGACAGACAGACAGATATATAGACAGATAGATAGATAGACAGATTGACAGATAGATAGATAGATAGATAGATAGATAGATAGATAGATAGATAGATAGATAGATAGATAGATAGATAGATAGATAGATAGATAGATAGATAGATAGATAGATAGATAGATAGATAGATAGATAGACAGACAGACAGACAGACAGACAGACAGACAGACAGACAGACAGACAGACAGACAGACAGACAGACAGACAGACAGACAGACAGACAGACAGACAGACAGACAGACAGACAGATAGATAGATAGATAGATAGATAGATAGATAGATAGATAGATAGATAGATAGATAGATAGATAGATAGATAGATAGATAGATAGATAGATAGATAGATAGATAGATAGATAGATAGATAGATAGATAGATAGATAGATAGATAGATAGATAGATAGATAGATAGATAGATAGATAAATAGATAGATAGACAGATAGATAGACAGATAGATAGATAGATAGATAGACAGATAGATAGATAGACAGATAGATAGATAGACAGATAGATAGATAGATAGATAGATAGATATAGATAGATAGATAGATAGATAGATAGATAGATAGATAGATAGATAGATAGATAGATAGATAGATAGATAGATAGATAGATAGATAGATAGATAGATAGATAGATATAGATAGATAGATAGATAGATAGATAGATAGATAGATAGATAGATAGATAGATAGATAGATAGATAGATAGATAGATAGATAGATAGATAGATAGATAGATAGATAGATAGATAGATAGATAGATAGATAGATAGATTTGTATGTATATTCATATATATGTATATGTGTGTGAACCGTACCCTCCCTCCTATACGATACGAACTTAGAGGTTTACAAACAGCATACTGCACGGAAAGCTGAGGTTTACGTTGACCATGGAAGGTGCAGCATCCGAAACACAACAACCGTACAGAGGCAGACATCCACGAACGAGGATACCAGAAATTGAAGACGTAGTGGATACGAAAGCACACTGGGCTGGAGAATCGCGGGAGAAAGAGAGGCTTTCTGGCGTGCCATGAAAAAAGCAATGTTCTGTAAATAAACACATAGTGGCATATATATATATATATATATATATATATATATATATATATATATATATATATATATATATATATATATATATATATATATATATATACTCAGCGTGAGGTTAACCACACTAGCCACTGAGTGCCTATTCGCCTATGGAATTAAGGTCTCGCCCTATATGAACAATACGCCAGGTATAAGTAAAGACCACACACACACACACACACACACATATTTATATATTATACATCCAAACAAGGCATAGGTCCATTGAACCTCCTACCCTAAAAAAATGTCTCAGCTTGCCCAATGTTTTCCATGTGTCGGCTCCCCTACCCAGTGCCGAAGATATCAGGAGACTAGTTTAGTATGTAAATTAGTTTGTTTCAGCTACTTTCAGAAGCGACAACATGAGAGATGTAATTACAAGCCAGCGACTTGTGTATGGAGTCTTATGGCCTTCACATTTGCTGGGTCATGACATTATCGAGTTAAAAAAAGGGGGAGGGAGAGATGTTCCCTTACTCATAAACTACAAACATTCTTAGTTGGTTATACCCAACCACAACAACAACTAAAGATCCCCTTTTCACACCTTTAGGCACATCGGGCATACGGGAAGAGCACCCATATTTTTCAGATCAATCGGCACTAGGTGGGTAATGTGGTCAGCATAACGCCTGCCGCCTTTACTTTCCCGGGACATACATCATGCTACCCATTTTAGGCTAGGTTGACATGTGACGCCCCATAACATGATAAACACCCACCCAGCCAGCATCGGGTTTCGATCGGGGTACGTTGGAATTACGAGTCGGACTCGCAACGCCTGAGCCACGGAAGCCGCTCATTAACTGGTGCCTGTGTATATCATCATCATCATCATTTATGTGCCATTAGACGTCACACATGGCTCGCATTCTATCCACCCCCCCCCCCCACCCCACTCCACTTTATTGCTTGCAACTCTCTCGATTTCAGACCTGAAGTTCTGCTAGCATTTTTAACCTCTGGGAAAAATTCTTCTTAATGTTAAGTTTCCCTTGGACATCTTCGTTTTCTCAGATCAATTTTTTGTTCCGGGACACGCAGGCGTCGATGGAAATGAAAGAGCTGACAGGTTGGCTGGATCCGCTCTTACTACCGACGGTGAGCTTATGGGTCATGCTGATATTATTAATGATCTCAGAGAAATGGGAAGGATAGAGGACTTTGGTGGCAGTAAATTCACATCACTCGCCAGAATGGCAGACTTGGGAATTGAGATCGTTTTGTCTCACATTTTAGTATTTGTTTTGTCATTCTTTGCTCATTTCTTCTCTGAGTGTGCCCAGTATATCCCCACCTTCTTTGTCTTACTGCAGTCGATTCCAATATTTGTCTAGACATTACTCTGAGCTCCTCACTCTTTTTGAATTCACCCCATTTTTATGTTCATGATTTTTCTCAGATATATATTTTCAAATGCATGAAACTTTCCTTCGGTGGTTCTCTAACTTTCGTTGACATTTATTAGAAATGAAATAACATTAGAATTGAAGATTCATAGTTTGGTCTTAAAGCTGTATAAGCCGGAGCTACATATTTTGTTAAGGCTTTGAAAGACTCTTATTGCTTTGCCAATGCTTATCATAATTTCTTTTGTTATATCTCCCTGAGAGTCAAAATTACCACCCGAATATGTTCCTCCAGAACCCGAATGTCTCATGCACATATGTTTAACAGATCAGACTTAACTGTATGCAGATTGTTGGTTCCTTGCCTCTCAGGCAGATGCATTCCGAGTTTTGAAGGAAGCCCCCAATTAGTGGACTTTTACGACATGCTAGTTGGAGAGGCAGTGGG